TTACTGAGGCCTACCAGGGCATCGGATGCGTGGACTCCATGTGCTGTTTCTCAGAGGGGCAAAACGCCTGCTCACGGCTGGGCCGGCTGGTGGAGCGAATGATGGGCCGCTGCGACCCCGCTCGGGCCACCAGGTGCGACCTCTCTCTCTCTAGCCTCTGCTGTAAGCACATCTCCTACAAGCTGGAGCACGATGAGCCCGTGGCCCTGGACGAGTGAGGCCCGCCAGTGCACTCAAAGCATTCCCTAATGATTACAACGTAGAATTTAAGACAGAAACGGGTGCATTCATTTGGCTTTAATGTAACAAAGATTAGCTAGAAGTTCAAGCGAGCTTCATCGCCTGGGATGCTCCAGGTATGTACGTATACAAGGAAACGTAGAAAAGTTACTTTGAGTCTGCCCTTTCCAACCCATTGTCTTCGTCTTTCATCGTCTTCACCTTCTTTCGAGATGCGTCCTTCTTTGCTGGTGTCGCTTTCGTGTCTTATCTCTGTGGCAGATAAATGTTCTCTGCTGAAGATCTTGTGCCTCCATACGAGTCCATAATCGCCGAAGCTGTCTCGTCATCCTCGGTCTCAGACAACACACCCAGTTATTAGCAAGGCTAACATGTGTAGCGCCAATTTATGCAAATATTTGCTCGTCGAATGTTGGAATATGTGACTTGATCCATGGAACATCCTGTCATTACGTGTTCTGAGAAGTTGCATCCCTGTTCAAGTGTTTGAATCTGCGTCGTAGTCTTTGCCTTGCGTGTGTGCCTCTCCGTGGAGGGGTTTGTGATGGCATGCGAACGCGTAATCAGCTTTTCGCATAATCGTTTTGACTGTCTGTATCCGCACTTTGGGAAGCAAGGCGCTTCCGAAACTACTCCGCAGTGGTGAGATGAGTACAAGGAGACCTGGTCTCGCTAAATATAAGATTCCTGTTCCAGTATAACGGCTAGAACACTGCCATTGAAGCGCAGGGTACTAGAGGAGACCTCTGCTCTGACTGACCAATGGTAGCCACGGTCAACAGCTACCAACGCTGTGATCGGCTCATTTATCGCAAAGAAAAAACTCAACAAGGGACCACATCGTAATTGCGTGAGACACTGCTAACTGTAGTCTCCAAGAGGATTCTTGAGTTGTTTTTGTTCATCTTTTTTTGTTACGTTAAACTTGAAGCCTTACGGAAGTCGAATCAATCTGTCTAATTGCATGACGGCAGCGTTTCATATTTAGTGTGTTAAGTGGTGGACGAATGCCAGAGAGTGTGTGCGTCCTCCTAGAGTATTACTAGGCACTTTACTACGCTTTATCGCTGTCCGTTTACTGTCTTCGTGTCACTCAAATGAAGCATCTAAACGATTATATGTTGTTGCATTTATCAATGATCTGTACTGCTTTTCTTCCATATGTCTTCAGATCAGTGGTTCTCAGCTGGTGGGTCATGGGCCAAAAATTAGTCACACATTGCTGTTTAAAAAAAACAAACAAAAAAAAAAGGGTCAAAAGATCCTCATATCCTGATCCTATATTAGAGCCAATGGATTTGTGAGCAGCATTCCTACATGTAGGCAACCTAAGGTTGTGTCCCGACTCATAATCCACATCTCGCTTTCTCTCCCACTTTGCTTCCTACCAATTTCCTATGCAGTCGTGTTGCATTAAATAGCAAACATTTATCATAATAATAATAATAATTTAAATATAGCTGCAAGCAGCAGTTAAGGAGCCAAGCACAAAGAAGGAACAATGACTACAACAGTGAGTAGTTAAAGACATTTTTTTATTATTTTAGTCAAAAAATGCAATAAATAAAATCAAGATATACTAGTAATACGATTTAATTGCATATCACTTTTGACCAATAGTTGGCACTGTTATCTACTTATGTTGTTGTCAGTGTGAGGTGACAATGACACATAAAAAGTTTGGTGTCAATATGCCAAAGTTACAGCCTCAGAAGCAGCTTGGCGTCATGCTAACAATCATTTATGCATTACTCGAGAACTATTTGGTCTATCAAAAAGCATTTGATAAATTTTGCCAGCATGGACGGAAGTCAGTTTTGGTAAAAATCAGTCCAAAAGTTTAGGAAGAGTTAGAAAAAGTAGGTTTTCAAAGAAATTCAAATTGGCAGATTGCAAGTATGACCGAATATGGCATAAATGGTATCGATGCTCTTAAGATATCAGGACCATTTTCATTAAAATAGGCAAAATTAATCAAAAGCTATTAGAATTTTCTTTTTTTCATTTCATTATAAGTTTTGACCAGAAGGTGGCGCATTTCTTATATTTTGGTCCTGATGACACATACCAAGTTTTGTGACGATACACTAATGCGTTCATTAAAAAAAGAAAAAATAGCCATTTTTCATATCCCCTGACCAGTAGGTGGTGCTATGCCAAAGCACTGCATGTAGCCTCAGGTGATGCTTATGATGACATGTACCAAGTTTTATTTGAATATGCAAAAATCTCAATTTGTCGTGATCTTCATCAAATTTGTGCGCATGTTGTTTGAGAACGATTTGGTTCATCAAAAAGCTTTTAATAACTTTTTGCCAGAATGATCTAAGCCAATTTTGGTGAAAATCAGACAGACTAGGATGAGCTCGAAAAAGTAGGTTTTTCGCATAATTATAAATTGAAAAATCTTGACCTCTAGAAATTTTTATTTTGATGTCCATTTGAGTCAACATGAGCCAATGTTGGAGCTAAGTTATTAGCATTAAACCATAGCATGTTTATGCCATAAACTGTTTAAGTTGAGACTGTCCTCTATCAGTGCCAAATTTCATAAAAAAAAATTTCCTATCGGCTGCCATAGGCTCGAGCGGAAGAAGAAGAAAACTAACAGATACAATAGGTGTCACCGTACCTTCAGTGCTTAGCCCCTAATAAAACACAAATATAACTTTTGTTGTTGAAGTCAAAGTCTGTGCATCCCATCACACTTTACATTGGTTTGGCACAAAATCATCTGTTGCTTGGTAGAATGAAGTCACATTAGGCAGAAGCCAACATGCCCACATCCTCAAAAAAAAGCAATTTATTAATTTACTTTCACCTTTCTCATTTTTTTATGTACTTAGGGATGATTTTGGTACTTGGTACACTGGGTCATCACATTTGATGGGTCCTAAAGCAAAACCAGTTGAGAACCACTACTTTAGATAATAAAGGAGATTGTTACTATGGTATGAAGCCAGTAAGCCGCATATACATACATTTAACTATATAAATGCAAATACACATTCTGATTTCAACTTTTTACCTCCTCAAGGTCTTAAAACGGTTGTCTTTATCTGCAAAACATGACGATGGTACATTTACATTTGCCCTCTACCAGTCCTTTCTATCCAAAGATAATCGCATTATTGTAGCTATCAATGCATTCTTCATCTTATATAGCATGGATCTATTTATAATATGGCTGCGCTTCAGAGGGATTAGTCCATTGGATGAAGACAATGCCCTCTGGTGTTCAAGAGTAGCAGGTCTGGCGTTTGAGGACTATAGCTTTGGAACGGCTCCGATCCTCAAGGGCTGCTTAATTCCACTCTATTTACAAATATAATATAAATTTTATAGTGAACCTATATACACATATTTTTCTACAAACAATAGATTTACGTTATGTATATTTACTTATATACTGTAAATTATCTTTTTCATATATAGGTACCATGCCCAACATATTCTGGCTTGGAAAAGGTTAATACTTTCATAAGAATGTAGTCTATGTGAATGTCGAGGCTGTGGAAGGATGTTGTGTTTATATTTGTTAATTGTCTTTTAACCATCCACATTAACCCATCTTGTACTAACATGCAACTCATCCATTTCTCCATTGGCTGTGACTCTGACTGTTGCTTGCTGATCTTCATGCACAAAGAGTTCATTAGTTAAAGAGATTTATAAGAAGGGATGCACAGATAAATGAACACTCTTGTGTAAAAAAAGTATACTGGACTTTCGGGAATATACTCTGGTAACCCAGTAATTAATAACCAGTCGCAAGACATTTTACATTATGGAACCTAACAAGATGTATTTCGATATTATATGTTTGACATAATACAAATAATTTAGTCATTTTAAAGTGACAAACCAATTAAAGCCACGAAACGAAGAGTTGTCGCTTCCTGGAGGACGGTGTCATTAAGGCCCATTAAAGGGATAGTTCGGCGAAAAATGTAAACTGTTATCAGTTATTCACCCTTGCAATTCATGTCATTCCAAACCCAAAACCCTGTGGTTCATCTTCAAAACACAAATGAAGATATTCAAACTGCAGAGGTTTTTCCTTCCATTAAAAGACCAAAACTTTGACGCTTCAAAAGAGCTTAACCGTGCTTGTGCCATCTATGAGAAAAAAAACTAATTGATTCTCGCTCATTAAGTAAGCATGTTTAAGCTTCTGTTTACCATATTTGATATACTTGATGTGTCTCTTGGTCAGTTACTTTTTATGCATTGTTCTTTAACTTTTTGTTGTAAAGGCCTTTAAATGGAAGGAGAGAATTCTTTAATAAAACATCTTTGTGTTTCGAAGATGAACGAAAGTCTTATGGGTTTGGAATGACATGCGGGTGGAGTAATTAATGACAGAATTTTCATTTCTAGGCGATCTATCCCTTTAAGGATATTTTATCAAATATAGTAAGACTTAATGGCCAATAGTTATTTATTTGTCATAAATTCACTGTTTTATCTGCAAAACAAATGTTCACAATTAGTCGTTGACCAATTTTTCATGTTTCTTAATGGTTGATGCATGGATATAATCATAATACCAGTTAAAGATTTACATAACAGTTGTTTTACTTTAGCTTGATATTTATCAAAATGCTAGCACTAAAAACTGAAACATTGTGCATCCCTAGTATTCAGGTCGTGCACTGGCCAGGAACGTCCCTCTCTGCACCCTATATAGCTTTGAATTGAAATCTCCAAACTGTCCACACTGTCCCCCTCACTGTTCGCACTTTCCTTGATCCTTCCAGATCTTGGAGCGACTCGGACACCTTCTTCTCCAACGACCGGAGCATCCTGACGCTCTCACCCATGGAGGTCTCTCATTGTTAATGCACCAGCCCGAAAAGGATCAGCTCGTAGAGTCTGGAGACGCCTGCCCTTTACCCTTTACCCTTTACCCCATCCCCCTGCCCTTGTCCAGTCACCAGCCAGACTGTCACACTTTAAAAGCTCTGAGTATCACATCATATGTGATCCGCAACAAGGGACAGGCAGTGGCTCCTGCAAAAACCAAAGGATTTGTGTGTCTTGAGTTTCCGCTGCTAGTAAATCCACGGAACTGTACGCGAAGGGCCGCCATCTTTCCTGAGGAAAACGAGGGGGTCTGTTTGAAGCCATATTTCCCTCTTTTAATTGCCTGATTTTCAAGGTATTAAATGTGAGCGCCGTGTAGCGCTAGCTCACAAACCTGTAGCCTCCTACCCTAAGATGCCTACCTGTACACACAGCCTGAGTTGTGGTTCGTACAGACAATCATGATGCAAGAATGTCACGATAAGAGTTCTTGATGGAAAACTTGCATATCCTTGAACTCGATCACTTTAACCTCCATCAGTCATGTGCCTGCATATTATTTCTCGTACATGCTATGTTGTCATCTCTAACCATTGTCACCGGTTAATTTATCATTGTTGCCGTGTTCCTTGTTTTTCTGCTTGTGTTGCTAACCACTCGTCAAAGCTGTATGATTTTTTATTTTTCGTTTGCGTGTGTATGCGTGCGTGTATTTAATCGCATACTAGGGCATAGTCGAAGGAAAAGGTATGAAATTCATCCTACATGGGCCGTGGGTTATTGTAAGGCCAGAGCATTGAGACAACCGTTTTAAACTTGCTTAGATCAACTATATTGAAGTTTATGATATCAGACTGCATGCTGCACTTGGGTCAATCTGTCTCAATAACCCTGTAACAGAGGCCTAAGTCAACTGGACCTAAATGCTCCCGATTTGAGGAGTCTAGTCTTGGGATTTGTCTTTATTTTTGCTGCAAAGGCTGTGACGCCCTGGATCTCACAGGTATCGGCTGAAATCTGGTGCCGTGACCCGGGTGGCAGTTGGGAGTCAGATTTTATGATGGAGTATGGTTACGTTTTGAATTGTGGATTACTCTATTTTGGTACTTCTTCTCTGTAGTCTTTATTTGTATATCACTTTTTTCATGTCAATGTTCAAACCCAAAATGACTCCTGACCGCTGATCATTACTATTTCAGATCTTGTGTTGAAATCCAACGGCGGAAATGTTTTGCTATATAATGTATTTTCTTGGATTATATAGCAACGCAGTATGCCACTTGTTACTCAGAGACATTAGCAATAAGACTCAATCTAGACTGGAAATACCTGATCTAGCTTTGATGTCAGTCATCCATGTTGCTTTTTTGTGTAAACATGTTCTTCTAATTGTACTCTCCTTACAGTGAACATGTTTAATTGCCGATGTTTATGAAAGTTCTATTTACAGAATAAATACCTTTATAAAACCCAGTGTTTTATGATTATTAGTATTCCATATTTCAGATTTTTGTACAGTTTTACAATGCAGTAGACTTGCTTTTATAAAATTGTGTGTGTGTGTAAATATAAAATACGATTTCAGTGTTTCTACTTTCAAATGTCATGTTTAATTCAATGTGTTACTTGCCATTTACTTGTAACTTTTTTCCAAAGTAAATCCCACACAAACTTTTTTTTTTCCCAGTATAATTGTGAACTATATTAACCAGTGGCAGAAGTAATGGTGTGTGGTCAGCACTAATAGCCTCATGGGTAGCGCACCAACATACGACGCCGTTGCGCTTCGGGAGTCCCGGTTCACAGGCCTTTGCCGATCCCATCCCCCTCTCTCTCACCCACTTCACTTCCTGCCTCATATTCTGTCCTATCCTAATAAAAAGGCAAAAACACCAAAAATAAATTAAAATGAAAGAAATCACATTATCACTCTAGATTAATTGTGGGATGTTTTTCGCGTCACTCGCATGGATAAAAACATTGCTTATGCTCTCCATTTTCTGATACAAACTGGACTTGTGAATAAGCTCTTCTCTGATTGGCTTGTGCGACAACATAACATATGCGAATTTCCCGCTCAAGTTAAAATTTTTAAACTTGCGCGGAAGACGTGATTGAGGCAATTATTGCGCGTTCGTGGTAATCACATTGCCCAATTTGCGTCACCCGGTGCAAATTTGTACCAATTCACGTTTTTGCATTGACTTGTAGGTAATCTTCTTGTGCAAATAATTTAATTATTTTTGGTGTGCACTCACCATAAGATTCAAGAGATATCACTGTGCTAAGCATTTTTTTTTTCTTTTTTCTTCAAGTGCGACTCTGGCAGCACAAATGTTTGCAACTACTCTTTAAACACACTTGTACAGTAGGCACAAAGTGATTACAGTTTTCTCTGCATACTTCAGTGGTTTGGTTTTGTTGGAATGCAAATACTTGCAAATTTGTTTAATGGAAGAGTCCACAGTCATCCAGTGGTTAACCCGGAAAATCATCCAAGCATTTCAGATGGTGGACATTCAGGAAAATGGGGCCAACGAACCCATCTTTATCTTCCAAACAATGACGTCATGGTACAAAATAACCCCAGGGACTGAATGTTCCAGGTGACAGCAAATACAAACTCTCAATATGGAAAAGAACCATTTACTCAGATAAACAAGAACGTTTCTAACTTTCATTTCAGAGGAAACTGCAAAACTAGAAGAATTTTGAGTCGTGCTTTCTTAAAATATTTTAATGAGTAGTGACTTTCCAATCAATTTCTGATAGCAGTTTTAAACTGGCCCTGAACCATCTTACTGTTCTTATATATAATAAAACACTTTGCATATTAAGTTCTTACATGTATGTACTTGGACAATATGACAACATAAGAACACTACCATGTCATTAAACTTGTGTCCAGTGTGTATTAGGGTTGGGTATTGCCAACTAACCAACACTGACCTATGATTTGGGATGCACCGGTCCAGTTCTTGCATACTTTAGGTACAGGACTTGAGCCTGAATTACCTTTTAAGTAGTGCCTGTCATGGGTGCAACAGCACCACCCTGTGCACTGGAGATGCCAGGTGTATAATAATATACATAATATAAATATAAAATTATAAATAATATAATACAGCATCTACTCTGGGTGACATTTCTTCATGAGATTCCCTCATCCACTCCGCAGGCCTTGCAGTGTAAAATCTATTTAAGGATTGTTATGCTGACATCCTTCTTCACTATGATCAATCGCTGCTCATTAGTGCTCATATATAATGCAGATGAACTGTTTCTATTTCAAGAGAATAATCTTGTAGTTTTCATATGTTGAAGAATGACTGTTTGAGCCATCTATTAATGAGCGTAAGCATTCATAATACTCATGTTGAAGTTTTAGTCGAGTCTGATCAAAGCAATTATTACAGGATGCTAATGACCCCTGACCTTTACAAAATCTTCTAATTGATTTGAATATATTGCTAAAGCACTGAATAAATCTTGAAAATGTAAAAGCAATTTAAAGGGTGATTTCATGCAAACTCGAATGAGATTTGAGGTATTGAGGAGGGAAAAAATTAGCATATTACATATAATTTTCAAACTATTCCTTTAGCAAAATGAAGAAATGAGGCCTTCAATACTTAGCTCATTATCTGAAGCTTTTCTGCATGGTTCACTTTAGAGCCATCTGGTGATCATGAAGGTGAAGCACGTGTCCTGTGTTCCATTACAACAATCGTAATTCAATGGATTTTAAAGCGATAAAAGTGATCAAAGTTATAATGTCATTTATATGTTACTAAAGTACTTGAGCCTGAATACTGAATTACTGTCGTCCCCGAGCTGCAGTGTCAGGTTCCTGCAGTGCAGGACATTGACTCGTCTCCGGTTACTGGAGGCAAACGGAGAGAACATGTCTGCAACAGGAAGCTTAGGTTAACATCCCAAACAAGCTTCATGTGCCAAAACACACACTGTACCATCAATGAACACCAAAACTCAGCAGACTAAAGTTTGGACACACCTGAATTTGTTTCTCCTGATCTTAAAAACCTTTTTATCTTAAGATCGGTAGAAATCGCATTCCAGGATTCTGTATTCCCCACTCAGTTGAAATGGCATTCCGGAGTTGTGGGGGACGAAAGCCTAGGACAGTGGTTCCCAACCCTGGTCCTGGAGGCACCCCAACACTGCATGTTTTGCATGTGTCCTTAATCGAACACACCTGATTCAAGTCATCAGCTCATTAATAGAGACTTCAAGACCTGAAAGTGGTGTGTCAGAGAAAGGAGACATGCAAAATGTACAGTGTTGGGGTGCCTCCAGGACCAGTGTCGGGAACCACTGGCCTAGGGTATGGCAAAGAACAACCGGAGTATGGTGGGGAGCAGGTCCGTCTGTAGCTGACGCGGGACCCGGTGCGAGGTAGGGAGCGGGGCGGGGTGGATTGTTGTCCCCCTTGGTCCTTTCGCCGCAGGGCCCTCAAGCACAGGGCCCAGTGCGACTGCACCAGTTGCACCCCCCTAGTGACGGCTCTGGTGGGGAGGCAAGGGTATGGCAACTGCCATACAGAAACACCACCCCTGTGCACGAAGTGGTCATGAAGCAGGCCAAGGGTGCTTTTCAAGTTTAATTTGTGCATCCTCGATCCTTTCCTTTCATCTTAGCTCCACCCCCGTTAGAATATGAGGGAAGGATGCAAGGAAAGAAAATGAGGACAGAGGAATCAAAGAAACGTTTATTTGTACATTGAAGGGACGCTTGAGTGATCAAGAATATTACAAAGCGTTATCTGCTGCGCTAAAGCGATCTGCCCTTATGTTGTTAAAGTTTGTTATTTAAGACATAATAAATATTAATAAAGCAAGATGCCCTGTTGAAATATGACATGTATGAGTTATTTAATCTGCAAAGGTCAAATATAAATTAAAAGTATTACGACGATGTGAAGGGGGAGGAGAATTTATGTGCATCAGGTTTTTCGACGAAAAAGACTTCCGCACAGGATACACCTGTGTATCCTTGCTCATAGCTCCTCTGGAAGCCTCCTCACTCAATTATCTAAACACGGTGCAATTAGATAATTGAGATCCAGGTCACAGGACGGAGGAGCGAGGAAACAAGGAGGGATATTGAGAACCATCCCAAAGTCGGTGCTACAAAAGTCCTGATCCTAGGCCAGAGAGGCCGCCCCAGAAATGCTTAGCAATCTCTCACTGCACACACCTCTCGAATTTTGGTGGCCGATGTGCCCTGTAACGGATCTCCCTTTCTATGTGCAGCTTGCCTTGATGTTCCAGTGGACCAGAGGAGCTTCTACAGGCACCTGACCTCCTACCTGGCCACCATCTATGGACACCGTGGCAGGGTGTTTCAAAATACAACGAAAGGTGGAGAGCACTGAAAAAAGCTCCTCTGGGTCACTTATGTCATCAACATGAGTGTTTTTCTTTTACCCTACAAAACTCTCCCCAAATACCTGCGCTGCTATTTCCCAGAAAATTGTGGCCTAATTGTTGGAGTCAGATGCAGGTTCGAGTCTCAGCACTGGTAGGAGTTGTAGGTGGGTGGAAAGAATTAACAGTTCTCTCCTCTACCCTCAATACCAAGGCACCAAACCCCCTGTTCACCTTCATATTCAAGAAGGTCAGGCAAAAAAATAACTGTGTCCATGCCCTTTCACTGCGTGTCTTTAGTAAATCCTGACAGTAATATTTTAACGCCAAAAGACGGTTTGCGCTGGCACAAGCTGTTAGTAAATCTGGCCCTTTATGTTGCTTTCTTTTTGTTGTACGCCATGTGAATCTCTGACATCAAAATATTTATTTGAGCAGCTCAGAAGAATCCATTTCAGTAATAAAGGGAAATTAATCCCCTTGTAGCCCACCTACCACAGCCCTGCACCTAGAGCAGGCGTGGCGAACGTCAGTCCTGGAGAGCCGCAGCCCTGTAGAGTTTTGCTTCAAACCTAATCAAACACACCTGAACAAGCTAATCAAGGCCTGAAGGGTTACTAGGAAGCTATAGGCAGGTGAGTTTTAATTAGGGTTGGAGCTGAACTCTGCAGGGCTGCGGCTCTCCAGGACTAGAGTTCGCCACCCCTGACCTAGAGCGTTATTCACAGTCTGATCTTGGAGCTTTGGCTTTGCTTTTGTCGCTACTCACTGGGGATTTGTTTCAAAAATGTGTAAACAAATCCCTGTGCACCCTACCCACCACCGTATTTGTGAGTTGCCATTGGGGTTTCAATTCGCCTTTGTCACTTAAAATCGTAACTTGATTAAAAATCGAGATTTGTTTCAAAAAATAAACTGAAACGACAACTGAAACGTTCATGTTTTCGGTCACCATTTGACAGGGTTAAATGCAATGTGAAAAGCCCTACTGAAGTCTTCGGGGCAACTTCATTCTTTATTGAAAGTAATACCAAAATCTAATTTTATAAATAAGAATACCATTTATCATCACAGAACTACCTTAGAGCTTGTGGAAAATCAGTTTTGGAAAGATGTTGTGTTGTTCACTTTGTCTGTGAAGAATGGTTTTGCTTCCAGAATCACTTCAGTTTTAGCCTGATAAATGTGTGCGGTATTAAATCTTGTGGGTACAGTACTAACAACATTGTTTAATTCTAAAATTTATAGAGTATGAACAGCTGGCACATCAGTCCTAGGGCCTCATTTATAAAATGCGTACACACAGATTTGATCTTAGTGCGTACGCTTAAATCCACGGCAATGCTCATATTTGTAAAAACTGGCTTTGATGTGGAAATGTGCTTAGCGTCACGTCAGGGTCTGAGCGGACGTACGTACTTTTTCTTGTCGGAGTACTGCAGGTTTTTGGAAATGTAAGCTGTTCTTGCAGCACACTGTTCTAAATTAAAGAATTTGGACGATGACTGGTGATCTTTTATATGTTAATGGCTTTAATTAGGAGTTGTTTACAAGACAGAGAGCTGAAACCATTCAGTTGCATGCAAGTTCACGATCATTTGCGGTTCATGGATTTCACGTCTGAAAGAGAGACGTACGTGCGTTTTCTGTGCATACGTTCATTCTATGAATCACAACATGTATGCATATTTGAGAGATGATCGTAAGATCAAATTTAGGATGGTTTCTGTGCAACATTTTATAAACGAGGCTTCAAAATCAATTCTAAGCCAGTTTAAAGTGCTGATACTTATATAAATCATTTAATGGCTTCAATCTACATAAATTGCACTTACTGTATGCTTATTGAAGATAAGCTTAACTGACTATTAGGAGCACATTTAAAAAATTTTTACATTTTTATTTTAATTGCTTATGTACTTTTTACTTTATCACATTTATGTAAAACACTTCAAATTACTATTACATAGGACATGCACACTATAAATAAACGTACTGAAGTTTCATACTGAATATCGAAGTCGTTACCAGTTGGCGGGGTTTATGCTCATGAATTTGGATCAAAAACTGAATTAATGCAGCAGACTTCTTACAACTGTTACATAGGTTGTGAACAGTGACTTAATTTTGTAACACAGTGAAGAAATTATTTTTACCTGATTGGTCAGAACACAAAGGTGAAAAAACTTAAGTTTATGCATAGAAAAACTTTAATGATTAAGGTTAAAAGTGAACAGATTCTAAAGGTTTCCTTTAGTAGTCAAGCTAACAACAAGGCACCTTATCCACCACAAATAACATTACTGTATTAAGCAATGCTTCATTGGAGTTTTCTTTTACAGGTGTGGGACAGGCAACCACAAGTGTTTTTTTGTTTGTTTTTTTCTTCTTCATGAAATGCATATACTTTATAGGGAGATGGCAAGTCATTCCACAGTCATCCATCCGTTAATCTTCACTCACCCAAAAACTGACTATGATTATGGTACAAAAGAACCAGGAGACCAAAACCACACCAAGTGTACTTAAGTGGACTTAATTCCTCACAAACAAAGTTAAAGGTGAGAAGATATCTGTGCCCTTAAGAAAGCTTCTAGTTTACTTGTTAAATCTCAAAAGATCCAAACTAATTTGTAGTGCTTCTCAAGATCAAGATCGTTGTATTGAGCAGCAACTTATCCAAGTTCAGGATTTCCAGTCATCTGTGTGTGATCTCACTAGGTTTACTCTTCCCCAGCTCCTTCCTCTTGCTCCATCTCTACCAGAGCTGCGTGACGGCTAGCCTGTGAGCCCTCTTTGAAGAACACCTTCTTGATGACTCCTGCTTTTGGTGCACGGATTGTATGCTGCCCAGAAAGAGAAGGACCCGATCAGTTATAATATGGACTATAACGTGCACTTAATGAGAAAGTGAGCCTCACCTCCATTTTCATGGCAATCATCACCATTAGAGGATCTCCTTTCTGGACCGAGTCTCCAGCCTTGACTAAGACCTAGAAACAAAGCAAAGGCAAGTTCCAGAAGTTGCTTTTTGGGTTCCATGTAGATTAATTAATCATTTGATTTGGGATGCATTATTCTGGTCTCACACAAACTGGGTTTCAACCACAGATGCCTTAACTACCTTTTCGATAGTGCCTGTCATGGGTGCAACAGCGCCACCCTGTGCACTGGAGCCACTAACACCAGCCAGGAACTTGGGCACAGGTACGTCCACCTGGGCACTTCCCTCCTAAACAAGGGCAAAAACAAAACACAAAAAATCATCAATAGTCTTGACTCAATGGTGAAGTGTAATATAAGGATGAAAGAAACCCACCATAGAAAAGATGTGTACGGTGTTGTCCAGAATGACTAGTTTGGGTCGGGACAGCACTCCATTGACGGAGCACCACAGGTAGGTCACGTCTCCCTCCATCTGCAGCTCTCCTGATACATGAAACACCTGACCTCCAGTCTAACAACCACAAATGAAGACGTGTGAAAGTTCATGTTTAGTACATAACATGACACTTAACTTAATGAGACTATGTGAAATAGGGGTGGGCAATATACCAGTAGACACAATTAACTGAAGATAAGCTTAAATATAGATATATATATTGGACTATTGTCTCTATTGTGGTTACATGCTCACGTGATGTTGATGTGTTGCGTGGCCATGAAAACTTATCGTTTGCACACATTTTTAAAGCATTGCACTTTAAAAACAAGCCACTGAAACGCAATCAGCAGCGAAAGAGAATTAATTACGCTATATGTACGTGCTGTCAGAGAGGCGCGTACACATGAAGACGGTTATTTTTGCCGTTTTATAGGCCTTGAACGGTTAAATACACACTAGTGTGTCAAAATGCCCATCTTTGCAAGTATTCTCGTAAACACAGTAATTTATGTCTTAAGGTAAAGCAAATGGCTGTAACAGTATATTGGATCCGGGCAGCTCTTAAAGTGACAGCACTCTAATATTCCTGCTGTCTGTCATTCATGTTAATCAACAACAGAGAGAAAATCTCTCACTGCTCTTGACTAAATCACTTTTGTTACTTTAATAAGAATAAATATATAGTTAATTTACACAGTGAAGAATATGCAGTGTTTTTATACATTTGATTAGTTTATAAAAAAGTAGCATTTCTTATTTTTGTTTTTTTCTCCTATTGCTTGTCATTTTTAGTCTTGCTTGTATTGTTAGTTTCTTATTTAATCACTGACTGTCTTCAGTGAGCTAGTTTTTATTTATTTATTGTTTTTATTTAGGCTAGTATTAGTTTTTTGTGATATGACAAGAATTATGAAATTTCTATAGTATTAGAAATTTTTGATATCATAAAGACCTTATTTAAAGCAAGTTTAAAGCAAAAACATAACTTTATTGTGATACATATATATATATGCAGGTGTGCATATAACATTTTGCAGTCTAAAACAGAACTTACCTCCATACTGTATGTCCCATCTGGATTGTAAGTAATAGCTAATTCCACTTCTGCAAAATAAATATTTATTACTTATTAAATAATAACATTGTCAGAAAGCAAAACATCTTAATGGTGCTACAAATGAGTTTTCTTTTAGCAAAATATAATTTACTATATTTTAAGACACTTCTTGGTGAGATTCACTCATCTATACAGATCTTGCTGTGCAGATTCTATTTAAAGGGGTCATATGATGCTTTTTTAAAGATCATTATTTGGTGTAACAGAATATGTTGACATGCTTTAATGTTCAAAAAACACATTATTTTTCAAATACTGTACATTATTGTAGGTCCTCTATGCCCCGCCTCTCTCAAATGCTTCATTTTCTACAAAGTCCCTCCTTCCGACAAGTGCAGTCTGCTCTGATTGGCCAGCTGACCCAGTGCATTGTGATTGGCCGAACACCGCAAGCACTCGTCGGAAATGTAACGCCCCTTACCATAATTGCGAGCTTCATCTTTCAAAATAAATGTAAAGACAGAGCCCGAAAGGGGAACAAAGTCACGTGACAGACACAGTGATGAAGCTGGTGTGTGTTTGCAGTCCACTGTGATGTGACGCGCTCTCTCTCTCGCTCTCTCACACACACACACACACACACACACCCATTTTTTAGCTGCTGAAAATACTAGTGTTCTAATAATTTTGGCCACCACTGTAGGTGCGGTCACATTTATTATTGGTCTGAAATTTTGCTGACAAAATCCAGTCATTTCAATCACAATCCGTGCGAATGGCAAAAAAGCTCCCCACGCAAACTTCACACGCATTTGGTTTGCTTTGTTTGAAAGTGCTGCAATATTGACAACGGACAACAGACCTTTCCTCAGCAAAATTTTGCTAATGCAACCGTAAAGATTAGAATGAGTGCTTACGTTGTATTGTCGAAGGCAGTATCTGAGTCTCTTCAGAGCGGCTGAGCGATCTTCCCCCCAAACCACCAGTTTAGCGATCATTGGATCATAATGAGCAGAAACTTCATCACCTTACATATGTTCAACAGACATACAGCAGTTAGCAACCAAACATAATTAAAAATAATTAACTTATAAATGCTTTTTTTTTTTAAGACGCTCCATAAGTATATTCTCCACTACACTCGATTGTATTGTCATAATTATTACGTATTTTTCCTTCAGACTTTAAAGGGGTCCTATTATGTTCTTTTACAATTTGATTTTGTTTTGGGGGTGTACTGGAACAGGCTCTCATACTAGGTTGTTCGAAAAACACATTATTTTTCACATATTTTACATTATTACAACACCACTCTCCCCAGTCTGGCATGAACGGCTCGAATAGTTCCTGTATCAAATGAAGGCCCACTTTCTGAAATACGAAATGTGCTGTGATTGGTTAGTTGGGCCCGTGTGTGCTGTGTTTGCTTAGCTGGGCCAGTGTGTGCTGTGACTGGTTAGCTGGGCCAGTGTGTGCTGTGAGATTTTTGTTAAATAAAATATCTCCTTTTGAAGTGGACTTTGAGCTTTGTAACTTTGCAGATCTTTTTTATACTCAAACAGCAACATTACAGACTAACTAAAGTTGAAAAAGTTGAAAAAGTGAAAAAGCTGCAATGCCACAGATGTTTTATGATTTGTTGTGACGTACATCCATGTGTTTTGCCGATTTTATCGGCCGATATGATCCTGTCACAGATATATCTGCATCGGCATGTATGCCACCAATATGAATTTTTTTTTTACAAAACATATAACACAGATAAAATGCTTGCAGATGGTGTAATTACTTAGTTTGTCCAGCAGAGCGTGCTCAATTGTTTGCAACTGATGACCAAGGTCACAGTAGTGACAGCAGTGTTGCCAAGTCTGTGGTTTTCCTGCGGAATCGGGCTACTTTAAAACGGTTGCCGCGGGTTGTTTTTCACGTTATTGAAGCGACCCCAATAACGTGATATTTATCCCATTGAAATGCGAATTGGAACCCCACCAAAAAACATGTATTTTACCCCCCAAAACGCTATTGGGCTAGTTTTGGGTAGCAATTGGGTGGGTTTTGTTGTGAAAACCTGGCAACCCTGAGTGACACAAGCCAAACCTATCACTTCAGTTAAGGAGGTCTCTTTTTCAGGCAGCGCCAGTGTCTTCACGACTCTTAACAGTAAGTTGCTAACTAGTTTGTGAATTACATAACTTACTGTAAAGTTAATAAACAATGACCCCATCTTTTACTCTCACAATGAGCTCATCATACTCATTTGCAACATTAATAGGGCCCGATGATTTCATGGATGGAATCGCGGAATCCAGTCATAAAAACAGAATTTATTGTATAACATGGAATTTTGCGCAATTTGTCATGCGTTTATGTATATATATATATATTCTGGTTATGTATAAAATGAATTCTATATACAGTACCAGTCAATAGTTGAACGGGAAGTGTGTCTAAACTTTAGACTGGTACTGTACTATAATATACACAAAGAATATTGACCGATATCAGACTTTTTTTACTCCCTGATATCGGTATCGGTCCCCAAAAATCCATATCGGTCGGGCTTGAAATAAGACCTAATGTGGATTTTTGTTTCATGCAAACTTCTAAGGGTGAATTTCACAAGACGTAACCAGATCATATTTCAAATGAAAATGAAAAGAAAATTAATAACAGAACAAAACTAAACAAGTATTTGGATAAAGATTTGAAGGCCATTGAGAAAATCTACATTATGACAAAACACACATACTACATATACCTCTCGAAATTTAATTAGCATAATACAAACACAGCAACAAAAATTGTTCTAATATTTTAACATGGGGAAAAAATTTTTTTTTATTTAAAACTGTAAAAAAAACAAACCGCATTCACACGGCTCTGTAAAAACAACTTGAAACTCTGTATTATGCATGCAAGGCCAGTATTTGACGATTTACTTGACACTACATGAACACGCAATCCACATGCGCACGTCGTCACCATTTTTCAAATTCACATTTTTGTAGTTTATACAGAGACAATAATTGTATCATTTTCAAAAATTTGCACTTTGAAACCTGTTTTCAAAAAGTTTGTTTTGAGGCCCCCAAAAACGCCACTGTCATGTACAAACCCAATTCCAAAAAAGTTGGGACACTGTACAAATTGTGAGTAAAAAAGGAATGGAATAATTGACAAATCTCATAAACTTATATTTTATTCACAATAGAATATAGATAACATATCAAATGTTGAAAGTGAGACATTTTGAAATGTCATGCCAAATATTGGCTCATTTTGGATTTCATGAGAGCTACACATTCCAAAAAAGTTGGGACAGGTAGCAATAAGAGGCCGGAAAAGTTAAATGTACATATAAGGAACAGCTGGAAGACCAATTTGCAACTTATTAGGTCAATTGGCAACATAATTGGGTATAAAAAGAGCCTCTCAGAGTAGCAGTGTCTCTCAGAAGTCAAGATGGGCAGAGGATCACCAATTCCCCCAATGCTGCAGCAAAAAATAGTGGAGCAATATCAGAAAGGAGTTTCTCAGAGAAAAATTGCAAAGAGTTTGAAGTTATCATCATCTACAGTGCATAATATCATCCAAAGATTCAGAGAATCTGGAACAATCTCTGTGCGTAAGGGTCAAGGCCGGAAAACCATACTGGATGCCCGTGATCTTCGGGCCCTTAGACGGCACTGCATCACATACAGGAATGCTACTGTAATGGAAATCACAACATGGGCTCAGGAATACTTCCAGAAAACATTGTCGGTGAACCCAATCCACCGTGCCATTCGCCGTTGCCAGCTAAAACTCTATAGGTCAAAAAACAAGCCATATCTAAACATGATCCAGAAGCGCAGGCGTTTTCTCTGGGCCAAGGCTCATTTAAAATGGACTGTGGCAAAAGTGGAAAACTGTTCTGTGGTCAGACGAATCAAAATTTGAAGTTCTTTTTGGAAAACTGGGACGCCATGTCATCCGGACTAAAGAGGACAAGGACAACCCAAGTTGTTATCAGCGCTCAGTTCAGAAGCCTGCATCTCTGATGGTATGGGGTTGCATGAGTGCGTGTGGCATGGGCAGCTTACACATCTGGAAAGGCACCATCAATGCTGAAAGGTATATCCAAGTTCTAGAACAACATATGCTCCCATACAGATGTCGTCTCTTTCAGGGAAGACCTTGCATTTTCCAACATGACAATGCCAGACCACATACTGCATCAATTACAACATCATGGCTGCGTAGAAGAAGGATCCGGGTACTGAAATGGCCAGCCTGCAGTCCAGATCTTTCACCCATAGAAAACATTTGGCGCATCATAAAGAGGAAGATGCGACAAAGAAGACCTAAGACAGTTGAGCAACTAGAAGCCTGTATTAGACAAGAATGGGACAACATTCCTATTCCTAAACTTGAGCAACTTGTCTCCTCAGTCCCCAGACATTTGCAGACTCTTATAAAAAGAAGAGGGGATGCCACACAGTGGTAAACATGGCCTTGTCCCAACTTTTTTGAGATGTGTTGATGCCATGAAATTTAAAATCAACTTATTTTTCCCTTAAAATGATACATTTTCTCAGTTTAAACATTTGATATGTCATCTATGTTGTATTCTGAATAAAATATTGAAATTTGAAACTTCCACATCATTGCATTCTGTTTTTATTCACAATATGTACAGTGTCCCAACTTTTTTGGAATCGCGTTTGTATTTTTCTAAAGGACAGCAGGCAGTTCAACTGCAGGACAAACAAGGGACTCATGAACATCTATCACTAAACAAAACAAAAACAAGCTGTGGATCATTCAGGTAACAACACCGTATTAACAATCAAGTGTATGTAAACTTTTGAACGGGGTCATTTGTATAAAGTCGACTATTTTTTCTTGTGGACAATATATTGTATGTGAAATATCTGATTCAGGCCAGTACTGGATAAAGATTTGAAGGCCATTGAGAAAATCTACATTATGACAAAACACACATACTACATATACCTCTCGAAATTTAATTAGCATAATACAAACACAGCAACAAAAATTGTTCTAATATTTTAACATGGGGAAAAAAATTTTTTTTATTTAAAACTGTAAAAAAAAAAAACGATCCGCATTCACACGGCTCTGTAAAAACAACTTGAAACTCTGTATTATGCATGCAAGGCCAGTATTTGACGATTTACTTGACACTACATGAACACGCAATCCACATGCGCACGTCGTCACCATTTTTCAAATTCACATTTTTGTAGTTTATACAGAGACAATAATTGTATCATTTTCAAAAATTTGCACTTTGAAACCGGTTTTCAAAAAGTTTGTTTTGAGGCCCCCAAAAACGCCACTGTCATGTACAAACCCAATTCCAAAAAAGTTGGGACACTGTACAAATTGTGAGTAAAAAAGGAATGGAATAATTGACAAATCTCATAAACTTATATTTTATTCACAATAGAATATAGATAACATATCAAATGTTGAAAGTGAGACATTTTGAAATGTCATGCCAAATATTGGCTCCAAAAGCATCGTTAGCTAACTAAGGAAGTTAGTTCCATTGAAATCTATTGGTAACGACGGAACTTGTGACCATAGTTGCTTTTGGGAAACGCACCCCAGGTGGGTTTCATTAACACACGCATATATCACAGGCTTCACCATAATGCAGAAGATGCAGAATGTCATATTTACCCCTGGAGCCTCCTCGATGATCTTCTGGTGTCGTCTCTGTACACTACAGTCTCTCTCGAACAGATACACCGCATCGCCGAACTGGTCACCAAACACCTGCACCTCAACGTGTCTAATGCAACAACAAACACTCATGTATTACATCAGAAATGTGACCCTGGCGCACAAAACCGTAGCACGGGTATATTTGTAGCAATAGCCAACAATACATTGTATGGGTCAAAATTATCGATTTTTCTTTTATGCCAAAAATCATTAGGATATTAAGTAAAGATCACGCTCCATGAAGATATTTTGTACACTTCCTACCATAAATATATCAAAACTTAATTTGTGATTAGTAATATGCATTGCTAAGAACTTCATCTGGACAACTTTAAAGGCGATTTTCTTAATATTTAGATTTTTTTGCACCCTCAGATTCCAGATTTTCAAATAGTTGTATCTCGGCCAAATATTGTCCTATCCTAACAAACCATACATCAATGGAAAGCTTATTAATTCACTGGTTTTGTGGTCACATATATATCGGTGTACTGAGCCTGATCAACCAAACAGACCTGGGGTTCTCAACAAACTTCTCGATCAGCATCACGTCGTCGTTGAATGACTTGCGGGCTTCTCTGCGAGCCGATTCCAGCTGCTCGTGAAACTCTGCTTCTGAGTGTGCGATTCGCATTCCCTGCGCGAGGCGGTGCAAATAAAGCGTTGCGATTTCAAGTATGCGTATTATTACAGAACGGTTTAGTGCAAACACAACCTACCTTTCCACCGCCGCCACGAACTGCTTTGATCATCACAGGGTAACCGATCCTTGCGGCCTCGCTTTGAAGTTTGCCATCTGATTGGTCCTCTCCATGGTAACCCTCAATGATGGGCACGCCAGCAGCTGACATAATGTGTTTAGACGTGCTGAAACAAAAACAAAGACGGATTGAAACTTAGAAACTAGAAAGGAAAGTTTAGTTAAATGTTGGCTAGACAAAGCTTTGCCTGAAAGTTAAAGACTACACTATACAGCTATTCAGGCATTGCTAGGTAAGAATTATACTTTTATGGATATAATATACTTTAAAAGAATATACTTGAATGTAATGCAATTTAATGAAAATGTATTATAGTTAATTAATATGAAATGCAAATTCAAAGTAATGCAAAGTTAAATATATTTTATGTAATTTCATAATTCTGTTGTTTTTGAAATAAAGTGCACTGCTGACTGTACTGATAAATATTACAATATTTTTTTATTTACCATAAATGTAATTTCTATTGAAACTTATGCCATGTACTTAAATATACTTTGTAAAAATGAAGTTGCAATTAAATATAAACTTTAAATTCAATATCAAATTACGTAACTTGTATTTGAATCCATTAAATATATATATAATAATGCAATTTAATGAAAATGTATTATAGTTAATTAATATGAAATGCAAATTCAAAGTAATGCAAAGTTAAATATATTTTATGTAATTTCATAATTCTGTTATTTTTGAAATAAAGTGCACTGCTGACTGTACTGATAAATATTACAATATTTTTTTATTTACCATAAATGTAATTTCTATTGAAACTTATGCCATGTACTTAAATATACTTTGTAAAAATGAAGTTGCAATTAAATATAAACTTTAAATTCAATATCAAATTACGTAACTTGTATTTGAATCCATTAAATATATATATATTTTTACATCCCTTGTGAAAATTAACCATGGTTTTATTATAGTAAAGGTGTAGTAACCATAGTTTTTAAAAAAAAATGTTGATTACCATTTGTATAACCACAGTTTTAAATGTAGTAACCGTTTTTTTTTTTGGTAGTAAAACTATGGCTAATTTTCATACGGGATGTGCTTTAGCATGTTAGTCACCACCTCAAAATAAGCGTACGTCTTTAAAGCACGACAAAAGATTATTAAAACAATAATTATTTAAAATGTACTTTCAAGTAAATCTTAATTTGATATTACAAAGGGCACTTTTTAAAAGTTAACCTTAACGGTCTCTCTTTAAGTACACTTACATGGCCTTTATTTTCTTATTTATTTGTGTACATACAGTACTTTCAAAATATACTTTTAAGATCTGAAGTACATTCAGATCAAACGATTAATCGCATCCAAAATAAAAGTTTTTGTTTGCATAATATGTGTGTGTGTACTGTGTATATTTATTATGTATATATAAATACACACACACACAGTAAATATTTACATGTATATATTTATAAATACATTTAATATAAACATAACATCTTTCATGTATGTGTATTTATATTTTATACATAATAAATATACACAGTACACAAACATATATTAAGCAAACAAAAAACTTCATTTTGGATGCGATTAATCGTTTGACAGCACTAATATTAAATACAATTAAGCTCACATTTTCTATGGTATTGTTGCACAGCTGCTACCGTCAAACAACTATATATATATTTGTTTTGTTTATGTAATGTACCTTTTGATTCCCATGTCCCGAATGGCTGATGACGGCGGGCCGATGAAGATGATGCCTTCTTGTTTGCACAGTTCAGCAAACTCTGTATTTTCCGACAGGAATCCATATCCAGGATGGACCGCCTGAACAAAACAGATTTAATCAAGAAAGTCAGACTCCCTATTTAGCTATAAAAAAAAACCATCTTAACATTAGCACACCTGTGCAGAGGATTTCTTGGCGACATCCAGGATCTTGTCCATGCACAGGTAACTCTGCTGAGATGCGGCTGGCCCGATATGATACGCCTCGTCCGCCTGGCATTACAGACCCAGTTATATGACTATATTATCTGCCTATGATCAGAATATGCCAATGCATGTATTTGTGAGTTTTCTCTCACCATGGCCACATGCATGGAAAGTCTGTCTGCATCGCTGTACACCGCAACAGAGCGGACGCCCATCTTCTTAGCCGTCCGCATTACCCGGCATGCTATCTCTCCTCTGTTAGCAATGAGGACTTTCTCAATCCGGCCTGTACATAGAGAAACAACACCTATCAGTGGCATTATGAGTTATAATAATAATAACCAGCATTAGGTAACAACAGCTCTTACCGACAGATGCATGTCTGGTGGATCCTGTGGTCCAGACCGGTGTCCTGCAGACAAGACAGCATGAGATCTGAACACAAGATCTTACTTAATGTGTTTACTAAATAGTCTGAATTGAGTCAAGGGCGAGTTCCTCTGCAGAGGTGACCTCTTCGTTTCATGTAAAACCACAATGCATATTAATAACTACAAGATGCTAAACAACAAAGTGTTCATGCAGAACTGTGCACACATATAGATAAGTTAATTATGCACACCTTGCACCAAATATACATTCATTATTAACAATAACAGCATTTTCTTCCCTAAAATAGGACTTCACGTCAGCATTGACAAAGATACCCTTGCAATGAAATTCATATCTCGAAATGCATTCGTTTAAAAGAGAAATATATGATATTTCAAGCAAAGTTTGAATGTCATTTCTGACAGCTCGACTGATTTCAGTGCAAACTGTTCTGATATACAACCCCATATGTGATGAACGCTATATTGTGTCTTTATATTGTATAATACAGTAGTGTGTAACTTACAGCAGGTGTTTGTTTATAGCTCTGTTGATTCGAGTTTTCAGAAACAGCGCAGCCATGATCACTGTGTTGTTAGCATATAGTGCAACTAATACGACTCTGCTCCAAAACAGCGCGCTAATTTCATATACTTCATGGGTCTCACAGCTTCATTCTCATAAACTCGATGGAACACTTCCAAATATTTATACTCCGTTGAATTATTCCGAGTAAAATGTCATGAAAACGATCATATCAGTGATGCTACGTGTAGCCGCTGGAAAAGCAAACGCATTTAGGTTTGTCCTCGTCCACTTACCGTACATACAGCAGCCAATCAGAAATGGGAGCTTGGAGGCGGGGACTGACGTATGTGTGTAAGGATTGTGGGATATGAAGTACAGTAAGATAATAAATATGCCAGCGCCTTCACTTCAGTTATACTATATAACTTTCGACCCTGTAGCGATTAAAAATTAAACAGCGTACCTCTTGCTTCACAGGGGAGCTACTTTTCTCTGTTTATGAATATAACGTGACACTCACGGGCCAATGACATTGTGTATGCAGTTTCCCGCCAAATCCGTCCCCTCAGAAATAACAAGGTTCCGTTCTAAATCGCGTCTTCTCTGAGTAAGTACTTCTTTTAAATAAGTAATTATTTAGCATTACAAGTATATTTTATATAGTATAAATGTAAGTAATATGAATGTTGTGCTTCTCGTGACAGTGTCATTTGGATGTGCCCTTCAGAATCTCACAGAAAGCATGGAATCCGGGTAATTGTGTACTTTTGTGTTTAAAAAAAATAATGGGGAACATTTCTCAGGTTATATTTAGTTCAAAAATGCTTTATTTTTATTTTTTCCAGACACAAGCTTTAAAGCCTTACCTATGAAAACGCCAAAGACAAAGTAGTGGGGCACGTTAGTGCTTTTAGTTATTATGGCGCCCGCAGTTGGACTCATCTTCCAGAAGAGATCAGATGTGCTAAAACATTAGTCACATTTAAATCCAGACTCAAAACTCATCTGTTTAGCTGTGCATTTAGTGAATGAGCACTGTGCTACGTCAGAACTGATTGCACTATATTTTATGTATAATCTTTTTCTATTCTTAACTGTTTTAAATTCATTTTAAATCAATTTTCGTTTTTATTTTAAAAGTTTGTATTATTTTTTTTAATGATTATTTTAATTGCTTTTATGTAAAGCACTTTGAATTACCATTGTGTATGAAATGTGCTACATATAGACAGTGTTGGGGGTAACGCATTACAAGTAACACGAGTTACGTAATCAGATTACTTTTTTCAAGTAACTAGTAAAGTAACGCATTACTTTTTAATTTACAAGAGAATATCTGATGTAGCGAATCAGCTCATGGGGAAATATGAATAATTAACCATAACTAGTTATAATTAACTATTCATATTTTAGATCCACTGTAGATATTTAGCTGACCACTCAGGGTCAACTGTCTTGTCAATTCTAAGAACGTTAATTTCCTGGTTAAGGGAAATAACTTTCTTACTGTACAATTCTATAAGCTTGTAACGTAAATCTGCATTGTTATAGGTCTGCGTGACTCTTGATGTCTTAGGCCTAATTGAAAGGAGGAATTATGGTATGCTTCTGTAGCCTGACGACGAGTAATTTTAACCGTTGTTCATGTGAACTCAGACAGCCTGATGCTTGGTTTATAGACTATTTGTGGGTGGCTGTTTGTTGTTTCACCTATCAATTCGTGTCGATAAAGTATAATAGGGTAAATTATACCCTATTATACTTTATAATAGGGTATACCCCCCCATTAAAAAAAAACAAAACAAGTGGGCTCCCCCAAAGTTCACGGTATAGTTCGAACACTGGCTACATAAATAAACTTGCCTATATAGGATATATTGTCAGAATATAGGAACTTGATGTTGACTGATTTGCGAAGAATACCATGACTAGGATATGAAATACTATCTAAAGGAAAAAAAAAGTCATCCATAATATCTTTATTTAAAATGTAATATAAGCTATTTGATCATTTTAAGCAACAGTAACCCCCCCCCCCAAATATGAAACAGCACAATTGTAAAAGTTCACATTCAGAAATATAACACCTTTTTATTTTTTGGACAACATTAGAATTAACCTCTGATTCCCCTCAATCATCAGTTCTCTAATTATAGGCCTAATTTACTTTCAACAAGGCTTGTTTTAAAGGGGTCATATGATGCGATTTCAAGTTTTCCTTTCTCTTTGGAGTGTTACAAGCTGATTGTGCATAGATAAGATCCCTGAAGTTGCAAAGACTAAAGTCTCAAAACCAAAGAGATATTCTTTATCAAAGTTAAGACTCTGCCACGCCCTAGTCTAAACATTCATTCTCCTATCATTTTGTAATTCACTCAGTTCGTCCTTCAGTTGTTGGAGCTTCATAATCATGATGTAACATTAGCACTTAGTGTTTAGTCTTTGCAGTCTAACACTACTTTGGTCAAAACCATTTTCTTATTACAAAAATCAGCATTTTTTCCCCATGGCGTTTCACAAGAAGTGTTTGAGATTCACATGTAAAACCTGCACTTATCATAATCATTCCGTTGAATGTACATACCTTGTCATGGACCAAAACCTTCAGACATCAGAATGACCATAGTCTATAAAAAGCACATTTCTGACAGTATTTCATGTCAGTCGCATTTTAATTGTTTACCGAGATAATTTAAAGCAATATCCACACAATGTAACACATAATTAAATCTTGTGATCTTCACATTACACATCTAGAGTCTCAGAGTTGTTCGTAGCCTTGGTTACGGCGTTCTCTGACGAGCACATACGTCAGAATGGCAATGAGGCAAACTGCTGCAGCTACAGCACCAAGAATAATGGGGATCATGCGCTTGTTGTAATCATCCCAGCACTCAACCTCTGAAATCAAGACGTGAGAAATCCTGTTATTCTTGGGTAAATAGGTTAACCGAATACAGATGTGTTTAAACTGATATATGTAGTATATAAAAATAGCATCTCTACGGTCTATGATGTGAAATGTATGTACCTTTTCCAAACGCTTCATTATTCAGATCAAAGGCTTGAATCTGGAGTGGCACCAGTTTGACTCTGAAGTAGCTTGCCAGTATCAGAGTTGTCTGAGACTTGCATTGGAAGCTTAGGCCATTTTTTGCTTTGAATAGCTTTTCGTGATTTACAACTCCTACGTAGGTTTTAGCTGTGGATTAAATGTATAAAATGTACTTAGTTCAAGATATTTTTTTATGTTAAAATACAATCTCTTAACCCAATTTATTGTTCCTTGTCTACTATACAGTAAAGTATGCCATTCACGGGTTTATCTCCCCCAAAAGTGTAAACAGTGAGCCTGGCAAAAATTTACATTTACATGCCAAAAAATTGTGTAAACTCTTCATGTGTTTTGTTTATGCATTTTGGCTATTCATTTAAATGACCACACAGTTCTGAGGGCCTGAAAATGCAAACTTTTGAAAACTATGGAAGGCTGACATTCTGGCCATGTTTGAATGTGTAATACTCTTTTAAAGGAGACTGACTTCTAGATTTACCCACATATTAATCCTTTCTTTAGTTTATTGCAGCGTTGCTTTTCTGATATCTACTGTGCTAGAGTAAATTAATTAATCTAACTTAAGTCTGACATCATACACAATGTACCAGTGCGCTATCCTCATGAACAAATATACACTGTAAAAAATGCTGGGTTGTTTCAACCCAACATTGGGTCAAATATGGACTAACCCAACTTTTGGGTTAAAAATGTAATGTAAAAAATGTACCCAATAGCTGGGTTAGTCCATATTTGACCCAAAGTTGGGTTGAAACAATCCAGCATTTTTTACAGTGTAATGTCTGATGTTTGCATACAATTTTAGCAATTTTATCGGCTTCTGTGCATGTTGTCACATTAACATGCACAAACAGTGTGTTTTGACAGATCAAATTTCACCCGTTCCATTTAAAGACTTTTGGCCCCATCTGCCTTCCATAGTAAATGATACCATTATGTTCTCTGTGTAAACTGTAAAAGTATGAATTTGTGAAAACGGTAACATTGAGCACATGTGCATGTTTCTTTACAAAGTGACATCGCTAACTACTGGCATACAGTATTGTTAATCGTTTTCGCAGATTTGTGTGAATGGGGACTGTTTTGACAACATTGTCATCTGTAAGTGAAGATTTTCAAAAGCGCAAAGGAAAAAGTACATCGTTTTGTTTTTAGTGTATTGTTGTAGCATAAACGTACCATTAGAGCAGTCTGCTCGAATCTGTCAGTCTCTTTAGCTTAACCAATAGCGAGAGACTGGGGCGTGACTACTGTAGCAGGCTGAGCCAAAGAGTGTTTAGCCGGTTTGGTACTAAAGGCCTTCAGTTTTTACGTCTAAGCGAGGGTACGCGTACAGTGCATGTGATGCAAATTTCATCACCAGAAGAGTATGTGTGTACTATTTGAGCACCGGCCGATTTTTATAACAGATTTTTGTAACTCTGTACACATAGATTAGGGGTGTTGAAATTAACCGTTGCATGCGCATCGATTTCACGTGCGCTTAGTGTTTGTTGTCCTGAAGCTCAATCGCGGCTGCAGTTAAATGCACTTGCCTCTCCGAATACTTTTTATGAAACGAAATTGATGTAAACGCAGTCAGTGTTTGTCCACAGTCAGGACAAAACATCTGATATGTCAAAATAGATCTGTGCATTAGTGTGAATGCAGCCTATTAAAGCTGCCGCTGTCTATGATCTCATCAGTAAATCAAACAGCAATAACCCATAAACCCATAAATTTGATTGTCTGTAAACGTTTGGATACTTAAAGCACTCTCAGATACTGAAAGAACTTTTTGTTTATCACTTGTAATTGTCTTTTATTGCCCCCTTTATTACTTTATATTTGTTTGAATGTTTTGAAGCTATATTTATTTGGTTAGGTTCTTAACAATTGTTTTGATTTATTTTTAATTTGTAATTATTTTAAAAAGTAGCCTGCTTATACAATTTAATAAAAATGCACAAAATACATTTTATATAATCATGATCAGGGGTGGTTCTAGGGTGAGTAGATATCTGGGGCTTAGCCCAGAGGCATCCATGTACCATGTGTCAAAATACATGGGATATGCTTACTAATATATATATATATATATATATATATATATATATATATATATATAAATAAAATATTATGGGGCTTTACTGAAAACATTCGGGGCTTAGCCCACCCCTAGCGCTGCCCCTGATCATGATGCATCATGATATCGAATCAAATCGTT